CCCCCCTCTACACCCGCCCGCCGACCCGGCTGACCCCAAGGTTGTGTGTGTGTGCATGTGTTGTCATATTCGCTATCCACTGACAAAAATATGACTGTGTCAACCTGTTTCGTTAGACTTGAGTATGTGTGTGTTTGTGTGAGAGAGAGAGAGAGGGAGAAGAGAGGGAGAGAGACCCCCAGGCACACCGACCCTCGCTTCTGGACTCTGGGACACCTACCCCTCCCCTGGACCCCGGCATACCCACCACCAACCCCACCCCTGGATTCTGGCAACCTCCATTACTGGACCCTCACCGCGGTTCCTCCCCCCCACCCCAACCCACCCCGCACAGCACCGGTCCCCGGCACTGGCACCCCCACCGCCGACGCGACCACGCCCCCGCCCCCACCGCCACCAGAGCCCCATGCACCCTGGAATTGCCAAAAACGTAAATCAGCCCAAAAGAAGCGCGGCACTCCTACGCACCCGGCCACGTCGTTTTTTCTTTTCTTTTTCTTCTTTTGGCCGATTTCAACACCTCCCCCCCCCGCCCCGGCTTTTGGGTCCTAACCCCGGCACCCCCGGAACCGATCGTGGGTCCACTGTGACAACCCTGGTGCTGGACACCGATGAGTGGCCATAGCTAGGTATGCAACCATGAGTAAAGGAGTGAGTGAGAGGCCAAAGGAGAGCTTTTTGAGTGCTGTCAGTAAGGGATATATTCGGACATTGATTCTTGTTCATTCATTCATTTTTTATATTCAGACATTGATTCTTGTTCATTCATTCATTTTTATTATTGTATTTAATCCTAGACTGGTCCCCAGGCGGCCGGGCTGGGGGAAGGTCGCCTGGGTACCCTCCCGGGCGGCCCGGGCCGGGCAGTGGCCGGGCAGGGTCCCGGGCAGCCCCATCGCATAATATTAAAAAAATAAAAAATTCAAAAAATTCGAAAATTTCAAAAAATTCAAAAAATTCAAAAAAATCTGGGAAAACAAATGTTGTATAAAATTGCAGTACAAGCAACGTTTGGCGGAGGGTCCCCTCGAAATTCCTTACTAATTTTAAGATAAAAATAAATGAGATATACCCTTTTAAACCCCTCTAGTCAGTCTTTAGAGTAACTTTATACCCCCCAAACACTCCTGGGTGACCCACCACCGAAATGGAAGGTAAAGCCGGATTCTGACTGCTCAGGCCGAGCGCAGTCCTGGCCTGAAGTCCGTTTCTTTCTTTTTGGAGATCCTTCCCTCTTTTTTGATCCGCCTGGTTTTGCCGGGCAATCCTTGCCGGCCTAGCTGGCCCGGGCATGCCTGGCTGGGCAACGGCCCAGCCTAGATTTAATCCTAACCCTTTACTACACAGGGCATGTACTACTCATTGTGGACAACCGATTGTGAATTGTGACCCCATGCCCCTGGATTCGGTGTGCAGGTGGCCAAGATAGATTTTCAGCTCTACAGTTCATCGTGCTGCCGTAAACCTCAGACTTCTTTTTACCTGCAGATGAGTTGCTGCATTTAATGATGGTTGTTGATATCGACGAATTTCTTCCATTACATCGTTGGATAGCAGGGGCTACATGAGTTCAAACACCCAACACGTGAGGACAAAAGGAACTTACACCATCCGATTGTGGAGTTCCTCTTTTTCGCTTCACGAGTCAGCACGGAACAATTAGGTCCTCAGACTATTCGTTTTTTCTTCACAGGATGACTGGCAGAGGACAGAAGAGCGGGAGCACAAGGGAAAAAAATTGTCTTTTTCACAGTCGCACTGCCACTGCCTGGAGGACTATTTTTTCTTGCCTTTTTTTCTTTTCCTGTCCTGCCCTTTAGGACATCCGTTAATATTCGAACGACACGTAGACTGATGAGCTGTTGAAATAAAGACCCCCAAGTTCAAATCTAGATGCAACCAGCTGAACAGGAGAAAAAAAATGGAACAATACAGAGTAGGTGCACAAGGACGACATGCGAAGGAAGGACACACCCCGCCATACTGTAGCCGGGGCTTCTTTTAATGTGGACATGAGAGATGGTTAACAGAGGCCCACATTTTCAGACAATTTGTCATGCCTATAAACCGCAAGGCAAAAGTGCACTTTCATGCGGATTTGGCCAACATTCTGATTTCAGAAAACTTTAGAAATTTCAGTAATGTCAGCAGAGAAATTTCCAATGCTCCGAACAACACCAAATTTGGCACACAGCAACCTTGAACCAGAACAAAAACTGGCAAAAAACAAAATCAAGAAAACATCAAATTTGACCCCCGAACCCTAATTTCAGTTTTGCACCCCTTAACCAAGGAGCTCAAAGTGGGGGTCCCCATTAACACACTTGTGGCGGGCATGCCCGCACCGCAGGTGGCAAGCTTGGTTGTTTATCATAAAAGGAGGCAGCAATAATGTGAGGGAGAGGAAGCTGGGGGAGGAAGAAAATATGAACTGGATTCAATCTTGTGTTCTTGTTGTTCTTCTTCTTCTTTCATTCTTCATTTGTCTTCTTCCCTGGTGTAAATCCATTTCTTCTTGAGTTGCAAATATTGCGTTGTCTCAAAGTGGAGGCTCACATTGTGAATTGTGAAGGATCATAGCACAGCCATCTACCAAATGGACTACAAGGCCTTTATTGCCCAGTGGTTTTGCTGTAGCCAAGGGTGAAAAACATCCAGGACTGTGGGCCATCCTCGCGACAGAAAGCCCTCCGTCTGTATGTGATCTCATTTCCGCTGCCACACTTTACACAGAGCTTTGCACAGCAGCACACCAGGATTCCACGTAACAAACATGCCAAAGCAAAGACTCACAACGTCTACAGCCTCATTCCATAAAGCCCTTAGAAATACAGATGGCAGGGGGGGAAATCATACTTCCTGTCATTCAGAAGATCGTACAGTTTGCCCCCATAGATCTCAAAAAAGCTCAGCCATAGAAGATACCCGTCGTAACGTGGCTGCTTCAAGATTTGACACATGTCTTCGACAGCACGGATTGGCAATGGTTGCATCGTATATGTCTTACCACTCCCTGCAGGTGAACCAAAATATGTAACAGAGAATAACATGCCAGCGTTAAGCCATCTCTTCCGGATATTCGAGCAAAAATGCAGCTACGTGGTCTTTGATATGGTATTCTACAGGGTGGGCAGAACTGTGGTAGAAGCATCGCACTGGCGGGGCGTCACACACAAGGGGGAAGAGGCGGAAATTGGAAAAATGCAAAAGATAGCTGCTCATGTTCCTGGAAGGCAAGTTGGATAACTCGGCGTCGGAAATATGCTCAGTCAGCATGTTCTACGAGCAAACACAAACGTTTCTTGGAAGGACAAAATGAGCTCGACTTGTGAGACCTTTAAATGCATCCATACAAAGCGCATAAAACATTGGACTCACCCGTTTGTCCATACGCAAAGCACGTAGCTTTGGTCCTTTCAAAAATGCATGGCACAATAGGTTCCACTGTTATTCTGTACACCTACAGAAACATTAGACATGAAAGCACCAGCACCAAACAACAAAAAAGAGTTATGAATATAGCTTCATAGGGAGATGGATGTTCCCTCCTGTCCCCCCTGTTCCCCTCCCCTCTCGTCCTCCTTCGCTCACTCGTTCCCACCCAACACCATCCTCCAAACCCAATGGAGATGTGTTATGAACTTGGTTGTCTGACGATTTTTACCGCCACTCACACACAGACAGTCTCATACACGCCCATACATGCATAAGAGAAGGGGGAGAGGAGACAGAGTCCAAACTGTACACAGATCAGAGTAGACAGTGAAAGTTCAACCATGCACAGATGGAGAGAAGACACCCTGGGTTTCTCACTCTCTGACAGACTCCCAACAACCAATCACACGAAGACACCTGCGAGGATAACAATTGGAATTCACACTGATGATGAGCCAACTCAAACCAAATATCGTTACAGAGTTTGTTCCAGTATCTCGCCACTCTCAAAACTCCACACTCCACTCTCTACCCTACACCCAGTTCGCGGCGCAGCACCAAAACAGCCTCCCAGAGGCCAGCGCCAACCACCCAGATGAAGAATAGATCCTGCGATGAAGTTTCCAGTGCTGATGGACAACTCTGACGAAAAACCAGGCAGCTATGGCTGCCACCACCCATGAGCACTCGGTGGAGAGCCTCGGTATAGCCTGGCCAGACACAGATACCCCCAGGGTAGATGCGCTGAGGATGTCCCAGCTTTGACAACCTTCAGAACGAAGGCTATGGCTGCCGTCCACGGCGAGGGTCTCAGGATGCCGCCCGTACACAGCCGCCCGTACACAATCCCCACCACTCACTTGCTTGCCTCCTCCAAACGCTGCTTCGCAAGAGTGAACAAAAAGTCCTGAATCGATTTTCCTAAACTACCCTAACCTAGACCTAGACCCGACTCACTGGACCGACCGGTACCGTTCCAGTTTCGGCCTCTCGGCCTCTCCCTACCCAGCTATAGGCTATAGGACCGTCTATCGGTATAGGCCCTTCGCCAAACAAAATTACTAATCTACTATACTGCCCCCAGGGAGCGAGGACCTCCGAGCTAGAGATGCAGACGAGGTGAGCGGCGGGGAAGGTTGCCCTTCTGAGCCGCTTCATATCGCAGAACAATTGACTTTGCTGTCTTGAAGAGTTCCCTTTTGTAGAACCATTTGTTCTCAGTCGGAGGTTGGAAAGCGAGCCTCACAAGATACTGCCGATCGGGGCCTGTGCCCCATTCATCCTCAATGGACTCCATGTCATGTCCCTTGCCAGGGATCGGTGGCCCGAACTGAGGGGGCCGGTCTGGGAACGCATCAACTGGGGTGAACGGGAGCAGCTTAGATGCATGGAAGACCGGGTAGGTCTGCAAGTGCATTGGAGCGTCGATGACATACGACGGGCCAAACGGATCAGCGCCCACTGTATCTAAGGCCTGCCATGGACCCAAGTAACGGGGTAACAGCTTGCGGGAGATATCCTCGTCCCTCGACAACTCAGAACTGGCTACCCACACATAGTCACCAATGCGGATGGGGGAAGGTCGCCTATGGCGATTAGCTTGTTCAATCATGGCCTTTTGGGCTTTGAACAAGTTCGCCCGTGCTCTTTCCACATCTATGCGATAGCGTTTGGCAAACTCTGCGGTGCCTGGTGTCAGATCAGACTTAGCCTTATCGATGATATCATCGAGAGGTTGTCGTGGTTCACGTCTCCAGTGCAGCCGGTATGGACTGAACCCAGTGGAGGAGTGTACAAACATGTTGTAAACAAGCTGTGCCCGAGGCAAGTGGAGATCCCAGTCTTGCTGATCCGGAGAGATAAGACGCAGCAATTGGAACAAGACTTGGTTCATCACTTCAACCTGACCATTGGCTTCAGGATGATGACCAGAAGTCATATCCAATCGAGAGTGCAGGTAATCCTTGCAATAGGATTGCCACTCATTGCTGCAAAATCGGGGATCTCGATCACTGACAATGGAAGTAGGCGGTCCATGGTGAGTGGCCCACCTCTCTAAAATTGTTGTTCTCACAACGGGAACTCTAGCGACCGCTGGCAAGGGGATGAACTCTGCATATTTAGAGAACCCGTCTACACAGACCATTACCTGATGCATGCCACGAGGGGTGGTCTTGCCTAAATCTGTAAAGTCAAGAGGCACAGATTAACAGGACCGTTAGGTATGGGTAGGGGTTTGAGCAGTCCCAGAGGAGGTCTACGCTGCACCTTGTTTCTCTGGCACAGCTCACAGGTTTCTATATAGCGCAACAACTCACTTCGCATCTCCTTCCAGAAAAAGCGTTGCGACAAGGCTGCATATGACTTTAAGAACCCGAAATGTCCACGTGCATCATGACCATCTAACATCAGCAGTGTCCTGAGCCGCTGATCCTGGGGAATGCACAAGCGTCCCTCACCTCTGCTGTAGGTATACAGCAAGTCTGAACTCAGGCCATAGCCGGGTTCAGAATTGGGATCCGCTTGCAGATTCCTAAAGGTCCATAAGTCGGGTCCTGACGCAGGAGACGAGCAGTGGTCTGACGGGTCTCCTCTCCAAAGGAGTGAGTAGAGGAGATCAATGCAAAAGAGTCAAGTCTACGAGAGAGAGAGCATCTGCTACCTTATTGTAGCAGCCCTTTTTATGTTTCAATTCAAAGTCAAACATGTCGATGAACTGAATATAACGTGCCAACTTATCATTCAACTCTCCCTGGGACTTCATCCACTGTAAGGTGGAGTGATTAGAGAAGATCTTGAAGTGTCTTCCCAGGAGAAAGTGCTTCCAATGTTTCAAAGCACAGACAAGAGCATATAGCTCTTTCTCGTAGGTAGAGTCCTGAAGCTTCTGAGTTTTGATCTTCTTACTCATGAATTCTACAGGTCATAGACCATTCCCATCATCTTGCTGAAGAACTGCCCCAATGCCATACCGACTAACGTCAGTGGTCAGGATGAATGGCAAAGTGGGGTCAGACAACTTCAGCACTGGTGTACGAGTCAAGGCCTTCTTGAGCCGTGTGAAGGCCAACTCACAGGGAAGGGACCAAAGAAAAAGATAGTCTTTCTTTGTTAGGTTGGTCAGGGGTGCAGCCACTGAAGAAAAGCTCCTGACAAACTTTCTGTAGTACGAGGCTAAACCCATGAAGGACCAGACATCCCTCACTGTCTGTGGTTGTGGCCACTCCTGAATAGCAACTATCTTGGCTGCTTCAGGAGCCAGGCCATCTCCAAAGATTACATGACTCAGATAGATGACAGAGGGAACTCCAAAGGAGGACTTCTCTCTGTTAATCTTATACTGGCTGTCGCGTAACGACTTAAGGACTAGAGCCAAGTGCTCCGCATGTTCCCTGGCAGTCCGGCTGAATACCAGGATGTCATTTAGGTAGACAACCATGAACTTGTCCAGGTAAGGCCTGATGATGCGGTGCATCTCAGTCTGGAAGGTACTTGCGATATTGCAGTCCAAATGGCATGACCAAAAACTCATAAGTCCTATATCTGGTCTTGAAGGTTGTCTTGTAGACATCCTCCTCTGCCATCTCAATCTGGTGGTATCCAGATTTGAGGTCGACTTTGCTGAACACTGTGCAGCCCTACACCATATCCAGAAGTTCATCGATCCTAGGAAGAGGCTCTGTACTTTTCCTAATGATCTTGTTGAGACCCCTGTAGTCGATGCACATTCTGAATTCTCCAGTCCCTTTCGGGACAAAGAGGACTGGTGCCCCAAATTCAAAGGTGCTCGGCCGTATCGAGCCTTTGCCGGTAAGGGTCTCAAGCTGTTTTTTTAGCTCCTCAAGCTCAGCAGGGGACATCCTGTAGATGCGGCCCTTGGGAGGGACCGCTCCAGGTAGCAGCTCGATGTGATGCTTGGTTGGTCGGTTGGGTAATCCAAAGGGCTCCTGCATCAGATCCGCATACTGGTCCATAACCGGCTGTATCTCAGGGGGACAGGAAACAGGTGGAGCGTCTGTCTGCTTGACCAGAGCTAGAAACAAGCGCTCATGGTCATACTGGGGCGAGATAGCATACAACTCCCTCGCTCTCAAACAGTAGCATCTCGTTTTAGGGTGGTGTTCAGCAGCAATCCCGCTTGTCTGATACACCACCTGTCCATTGGGGAGTTCAACCTTAGGGATCTGCCAGTCGATCCTAGGGTTGACTTCTCTTAGCCATTGCATCGAGAACACCAGATCAAAGGGTAAATCAGGGAATACGTATTAGTCCTGACTGTGTCTGACCTCTCCAGCACTGTCGAAGGTAACGGGGATACCCCTGACCTTCTCCCTGATGGAGTCAACTATTCTGACCAGCAGCAGTTGCTGCAGCTACTGAACTTTCATGCCCAGATGCAATTTCCTGACAACACTGGGAGACATGAAGTTCCGGGTGGCTCCACAATCCAACAGCCCCTTGATGCTGATGTTGTTGATTAGGGGCCGAAGTAGGATGAGATCAGACTTGTTTTTCTTTTGTTCCTTCAGATGAAAGAAGAAAGCAGCAAGTGACTGAAGCTCATTCTGCTCCGGGTCATGATCCGGGTCAGGATCCTCGTAGCCGAAGGATGCTGCCGGTGCAGTCCCCAAACTTATAGACTTTGTTTCAACTGGAGCAGCTGCAGATTCACCTACCTCAGCAGATGAAGGTGCAGCACTGGGGGGAACTGCAGTCCCCAGGGTCTGCTTCAGTTCTTTGACTGACCCGGGCCTGTTACGTAAGGGCAGTCCTTTAGAAAGTGTTGTCCCTCACATCTCAGGCAGACCCCTCTCTCCTTTCTTCTTCTCCACACTCCCTCCTGGATCTTGAGGTCATGCCAGGGGAGAGTGGAGGGATTGAGCGGGTCAGCTGGCATTCGGACATCCCTTGGCAAGTTAGGGCGTTGGGTGATAGAAGGACGAAGTCCCTTGTCCTTCCCCTTGAAACTGGTTGAGGCTGTGGTCGGGGAGAATTGCTTCTGCTGCTGCAAAACTCCCATAACAGCCTGAGTCAGGGCCGCTGCAACATCTGTCTCAGCCGCTGATTCAGTCCCAGTTGATGGTGTATCAGCCTGGGAGTCTGAATCAGAAGCTGATACAGACCCTGCATGCGCAAAGGCTGCCTTTCCCTTTCTACCACCACGAGGGAAGGCACCTTTCTCCTGTCAGAGGAGGGGGCCTGAACATGAACTTTTGCCTCCATGTCCAGGGCTTTGGCCCTCCAATCCTTGTGCCCAACATTGTACAAGGCAACCGAAAACTTCTCAGGGGCTGCCGTGCCCAAGTTGGTTAGTAAGTCGTCTGCAGACATTACCAAACCAGGGGTGGAAGTTAGTTGCTCGAACTCTGCAAACAACGATTGCAGGGAACCGCTGTAGCGCTGCTGCCCCACGCGAGCAATCTTGTCAGCAACTTTGAGGGCCCGCTCCTTATCTGCAAAGCGGTCTTCCAGAGCCTGCAGAAGACTGTCCACCCCCAATCCCAAAGCCCAATCCTCCATTGACTTCTGCAGACCGCTGGAGGTAGAGGTAGCCCACTTTTGAGCAGGCCCCTCCAACAGTCCCAAAATTGTAGCCACTTTTGTCTGTTTTGGGCATATGAAGCCCCTCAAGTAACCCCTGGTCCCTGCAGCCCAGTCCCCAACATCAGTCTTGGGGTCATCCCCTCTGAACTTGTTGGGGGCAGGGATCTTGGGACCTCTCTGATCCCCTGCAACAACAGCTGCAAAAGTGGGTTTGGCTGTGGCCTTTTGGGAAGGAGGTGGTGAGGGGGAAGAATGGCGTGAACCAGAGGGGGTCGAAGGAGGAGAAGGAGAGGGTTTAGGTTGGAGGACAGGAGACGGGAGAAATCAACCGGGCTGCTGTCAGCGGAGCAGTCAAGTCATGTATTGCTTTCAGGATCTTGGACTGCTGAGCTTCCAGGTTGTGGACCCTGTTTTCCAGGTGGTCTAGCTGCTCATCCCAGTTTGTGAAGGCCACTCCGTCAGATTCTTGTTCACCTGGGAGCAGCGGTCATCTGTCAAGACTTTGCCTAGCTGCTCCAATAGGTACTCCCTCCTGGAAGTATCTTTTGCAGCCTCTACCTCGGCGGCTTCCTGCCACTCGAGTTCTGCTAGCATCGCCTGCTGCTGCTGCAGTCTTTCCTGTAGCTCCTTCTTCTGCTGAGTAGCAGTCAGAGGAGGAGTAGGAGTGGAGGTCGAAGGATGTTCTCCTTCTACCTTCATTACTACTTCTACCTGTGGCTGCTGCTGAGCCCCCTCATTCGCCATTTTCCCTCTTCAGAAAATGAAATAACAGACAAACAGCAAAGAGTATGCAACGATATGCAGATTCCTACAGACACTCAAGAATCGTTGCTATCTCATACACATAAGTCAGGTGGGTGAACAGGCAACAAGCGATTTGGGTTGGAACAGTCTCTCTCAGGTCAGAGGTCAGACAGACAGTCCAGTAAAATCAATCACACGATTTCCTTTTACTGACCCTCCACCACACTGGAGTTAGCATACACCACTTCACTAATTCCAAAGATACCCTAGATTTCCAAAGCCCAGTAGAAAGGAAGAGTAACCAGTGAGAATGAAAGAAGATGGCAAGTACAGACAAGAATGATCAAACAAACAGAGCGATTCAGTCATTTCCAGAGCCCAGTAGAAAGGAAGAGTAACCAGTGAGAATGAAAGAAGATGGCAAGTACAGACAAGAATGATCAAACAAACAGAGCGATTCAGTCGGGGACCCTAAATTCTACTCCAGACTTCAATTTCGGCCCAGGTGACTCTGGCAACCATACCCTAGGGTATAGTGAAGTATAGTATTCACTGTATCTAGTGAAATACTAGATATCCAATTAAGCGTTTCTGCACTACTGACAATTTTTGAATTGTGATTGACTGACAGCTGACAGAATTGAATTATGACGGATAGAATTGAAGTTGTGACTGACCCTAGTTAGCACAGGCCATAATTAGACTCAACGCAAAACTACAATTCACAGTTTCTCTACTATTCCAGTACAGAATTCACAGTCTGAGCATCCAAAATCAAGCGCAATACAGTCAGGCAGTCACAAAACAACTTTAGATGGAAAGGAGTCAACAACCAGTACGAAATGAGCAGAAGGAGGTAGGAGAGAGATGGCTACGGCTATCATGCAGTCTGCGATTTTCAATTCCAGCCACTGGGAGACAGATAGACCATTAATACTAACTATTATGGCCCTTATCTGAATCGCTATACTGAGAATTGCATGGAACGGAATCACTAGTACCCTGCAGAGCTTGATGAAGATCTGGCTGAAACCCTCATCTCGCCAGTTTCTTCCTGAAATTCCTCTGCAGTCTTCCACGCACAGAATCTCTTCAAACTTGTTGATCCTATTCAAGATCCTGGAGCGCTGCAACCCCTCTATTCAAATTCAGGGAATTTGGACCTGTGCCGCCCAGAGTGCCAACAAAGAATTATCTCGCCACAGCACCCCACAGCCGCTGATGCTATAAATAGCCTCAGATGAGGTTAATTTCACATGAGATTGACACAGACAATCAATCTCCCTCAACGCTGCTTAGGGATGAAGCCGCTCACAGGATTTTGAAGTCCTCAGGGGCAATTCGCCATTCGCAATACTGCCCTCAAGGTTGGCTATGGCGAATTAGCCCTGTTCTCGCCACTTCCTTGCAAGCGCCCTGACAGGCTCAGTGCGCTTGTTCAATGCAACAACTGAACTCCTGAATTCACCGCTTGATATCTTCTTCCCTACTGTCTCAGTACTGGAGGGGAAGAATCGCCCTGAAGCTTCTCACCAGTACATCTCCAGATGAAGAAGATGACTCATTTGCACTCAACCCTCAGTGCTCCAATATGAACTTGGTTGTCTGACGATTTTTACCGCCACTCACACACAGACAGTTTCATACACGCCCATACATGCATAAGAGAAGGGGGAGAGGAGACAGAGTCCAAACTGTACACAGATCAGAGTAGACAGCGAAAGTTCAACCATGAACAAATGGAGAGAAGACACCCTGGGTTTCTCACTCTCTGACAGACTCCCAACAACCAATCACACGAACACACCTGCGAGGATCACAATTGGAATTCACACTGATGATGAGCCAACTCAAACCAAATATCGTTACAGAGTTTGTTCCAATATCTCGCCACTCTCAAAACTCCACACTCCACTCTCTACCCTACACCCAGTTAGTGGCGCAGCACCAAAACGGCCTCCCAGAGGCCAGCGCCAACCACCCAGATGAAGAATTGATCCTGCGATGAAGTCTCCGGTGCCGATGGACAACTCTAACGAAAAAACAGGCAGCTATGGCTTCCACCACCCATGATCACTCAGTGGAGAGCCTCGGTATAGCCTGGCCAGACACAGATACCCCCAGGGTAGATGCGTTGAGCATGTCCCAGCTTTGACAACCTTCAGAAGGTCGGCTATGGCTGCCGTCCACGGCGAGGGTCTCAGGATGTCGCCCGTAGACAATCGCCACCACTCACTTGCTTGGCTCCTCCAAACGTTGCTTCGCAAGAGTGAACAAAAAGTCCTGAATCGATTTTCCTAAACTATTAATAGATCTACACTACCCTCCTAGACCCGACTAACTGGACCGACCGGTACCGTTCCAGTTTCGGCCTCTCAGCCTCCCTACCCGGCTATAGGCTATAGGACCGTCTATCCGTATAGGCCCTTCGCCAAACAAAATTACTAATCTACCGTACTGCTGTTACTGTACAGCCTCGCAGTCAGTCTCGGCAGTCAAAATCAGTAAGTCATTGCAGATGGATGTTCCCTCTTGTCCCCCTTGTTCCCCTTCCCTCTCGTCCTCCTTCGCTCACTCGTTCCCACCCAACACCATCCTCCAAACCCAATGAAAGGATTGGGTGGGGTGCAGTGGGGAACAGATCAGAGCATGTTGTTCGGTTGAGGGGCAGAAGCTGATCAGACCACAGAAAGACACGTAGCCAGGTGGCAGGAAAAAGCACAGCCAAGTGGCATCCCAATCCAAAAAGACCTCATCCATCGACCCATCCACCTAGCCATTCATCAATTCATCTGACCAAGACAGGAACACCAACAGCACAGTTGAACATAAATGAAATCATCAGAACAGAAATGAGCAGAACAAACATGAACACAAAAACAAGATGGCAAGTACACATTGGCACAAAATTGGCAGTCATGCACCATAAATGGGAAGGCAAAGAGGCAGGAACAGAAATTCCAATTTCAGGTTCTGGCACTGACCTCATCATTAGTTACAACATCATTTAACACAGCATCAAACACAAACTCGTGTTTCTCCACATAAGCTGTAAGATCCACCTGGTCAACCAACACAGCACAGAAACGGGTGAGTCCTATGACAGAAAGGGCCCCTACCAACAAATTCCCGGCATGGGGGGGGGGGAGGGGGGGCAGGGAGGGGGAAAGGAAAAGGGAGAGAAAAGAAGAGAACTACAACCAGTCACACAAACACTGCAACACTACATGCCCTGACTTCCTGAGAAGAGGGCTTGCACACATCTAAACTACACCTGTGACCACCAACTATTTAAATTTTAAACCATTGCTGGAAATCGTCGTACTCGACTAGTTAAGCGACTTGTGCTGCCCAGTGCCAAAATGGTCCTCTATCGGTTCAGTAGAGCTTAGGCACAAGAGATTAACTGGACGCCAACATTTCGTTGCTTTTCGGGTGTGCCCAATGCAAGTAACCTAGAAACTTTTTTGACCCGTACAGACATCTAATCCACACTTGTGAGCACAAACAGTTTATACCATCACAGGAAATTGTCCTAGTTAACTAGATTACTGCCCAGTGGCAAACAGTGTCTTCTTGGATCAGTACAGGCTAGGCACAAGAGATGGTTACCTGCATGCCAACATTTGGTTGATTTTTTGGTGTGCCCGATGCAAGAACCCATAAAACCCTTGACCCAATAACGCAAACAACGACCAAACATACATGACACTGCAAGGAACCCAATGATGACAACACAATTTTCCAGCAGCAAAGACAGCAGAACAATCATATGAGAGCAAAGTCGAAAGTAGAATTACAAAGCCAGAATCACACCAATCGTGAAGACACGTGGACAAAAGCTCAATGATATAGAAAGCCCAACACCCGCCTCACATTATAAATACCACACCAGCATATTGATTCTTCTCTGATTTAGCCGCCTAGACTACTTCCCTACTTACTCTATATAGCATCCTTTTACTTTTAGTTTTCTTAAGCGTAGAGAGGGGTGCAACTACTGCTAGCAGGGATAAGAGCCCATGCCTGTAGTAAGGCTTGCAGGATTGATGGCTCCGGTCTTATTCAGCAGCACAGGTCCACCGTCGCTCGGATACAACCTGAAAGGGACTCAGTCACCATTCATCAGCAGAGAGTCGTTCACTCTATCCGCATCTAAGAGGATGTCGACCTGGACAGGTTCCATTCACTACTGATCCTGAGATAGAAACTCGCTCTATCCTTAGTCTAAGAGTGTACAAACATCCATTATCTTGATCCCAGTCGCGACCACATCCGTGTTGCTGCAGTTCTCTGTTGGCCCCTGAACCAGCACAGCTACTCCATCATTGGTTCTGGTCGCATGACCCAAGCCAGTTGGATGCCTTCCCAGCCTTTGTCTTGGTGTGTTGTGCTTGCAGGGTCTTCACCTTCGAAGTTCTCCAAGATGGTGTGTGTTGCCTGGTAAAGTGGAGTTGGTGTAGGTTGCATGGTAAAGTGCAGTCGTCAGCCGGCCCTGTTACCCTGGGGTACAAGGACTGGGGGAGGGGGGCAAGAGACGGGTAGAGGGGGAGGGGAGATGACCTAGGAAATGGGGGGAGAAGCTGATGGCATAGTGGGTGGCAAAGGGGGCAGGTCTGAGGGAAGAGGGGGTGGCGAGGTGGAGGGAAGTGAGGGGGAAGGGGCAGATGCTGGTGGCGGTGGGGCCAACGGAGGTGCAGGCAGCTCCGACTCCCAAGAGGGAGAGGGAGTTATCGGGAAGGAGGCAGATGGGGGAGGGGGCGTCAGTGGCAGGGAGTGCAACAGTGGAGAGGAAGGAAGAGGTGTTGGTGATGTTGGGACCAGAGGGGGAGCAGGCAGATCCAACTCCCTGGAAGAAGAGGAAGTTACCGGGGCTGAGGCAGACCAGCAAGGAACCGTCAGTGCGGGGGAGTGCAACGGTACAGGGGGTGTTGATGGGGGAGGCGATTCAGCGCTGAGGAGCCGGGGGCTGGCACTTTCCTGGAAGACAGAAAGCGCAGAGGGGTGCTCTCCCGTGAAGGGAGTAAAAAAGCATTCATCAGGCCGGAGGCACCCGTGTGCGTCCTGAGCCTGCCAGTTCTTCCAGATGACCTTTCCGTTCCTCGTGAGATCACACATCTGCCTGTGTGGGTCAATCCACAGGTCTGTGAATTCCTGTAACAGCAGCTGTCGCTTGACGGGATCTGCAGCGGAGGACAGTTTTTCTTGTAATCTTTCCTCAGCTCTGACGACATTTGTGCGAATAGATTCCGCAACTTCAGCTTTAGCCTGTAGGAGGCCAAAGGAGAATTATTCCTTTCGACAGAGCACCTCATTACTCTATCTTGCATCCTACTTCCTATCTTGCAATCTTTTTTCTCTGTGTCCACATCTTCTGAGTTCGACCACGCCAAGTGTCCTTTCCACTCACAGCCAGGTAAGTCCCTCTCTCATCGCTGTCCTTCGTCCCTATCGTCCTCCCAATACATGCCCTCTCCAAGTCACATCTAGCGCAGCTACACTGCCATTGGCAGAGGCAATAACTCGTGTTGGCTTTGTCCTTTTGTTGTCATCACCAGGCCAGGCCCTACCACACTCCTGTGCTAACATAAGTTTGTGCAACCTGCAGCCTCCGGAGTCCAGAATGTCCCTCAGCAGCGGCCCTCAATGTAATTGCAATTATTGGCCGCAGTTGCTTCATGGAGAACTGGGCCTGTCGATTAAAGCTTCCAGACAGCCCCTTCTCAATTCCACTGGGACTGGGCCTGCATTGAGGGCCCCGCCATTATTTTCACTCCCGGCCTTCACTTAGGTACGCAGAACTTTCTCTGCATGCGGCTGCCACAGGGCGCCACCAACACCTGGAGGCTTGCAACCCCACCCCCTTAGGTTCAACGTACTCTCCAGAACCCTTAATCTTCTTGCCATTGCTTCCCTGTAAGAGCTCTCTCATAGTGTACAACCACTTGAGGTGCAGATTTGATAAACTCCATTGTAAACCACCAGTCCTCCTCAGGATCGAGATAACCTTGAATGCCACTATGAACTGCAATTGTGGCTTCGGCCGTCTGCCTCTGTGCTCCACGATTCGATCAATGTCGACGTAACCTCAGCTCGTAGTTTGGTGTCAGCTTCCGTGATATGTCCTGCTCTGGCACAAACTCAGATGATCTAACCCAGGCCTTATCACCTATCCGGAACTATACATCCGTGGAATCACCCTGTTGCAGAACCACATTTCTGCTGATCAGTTTGATTGGGATGTCAAGCGGCCTCAGATAGCTAGGCTGTATAATAATGCTATAGACAATCACCGGGCGATCTCCTAATGAACTGCATTTGGGCTGGAAACCCAGAACTCCCCTTGATTTCTTGTTTCCAGACAGACAGGAGTCAGCACCTGGAACAATATGTCACTGTGAGTTCTGAACCTAGCTTTACAGCAACGTTCTGCCACAGTTCACTAGTGAACCTAACATCTCATGTTACAGCAACGTTCTGCCACAGCTCACTAGTGAACCTAACATCTCTTTCGCTCACAATGCTGGATGGTAGTCTTTAATCCAGTTGTTCACAAATGCTAACTCGGTTTTACCGGTAGCCGGCAGCAGTACAAAGCTGGCAGACATAGAAACACTGTCAATCATTACCAGAATCTGTTTATTCCCACTCCTGTGACCAGCATATCTATGTATGAAGTCCATGGCCAAAGATTGGCCTTGTCCTTCAGGTATAGAAAGATGCTTCAGTAAGCCTAGACAAACCCCGCAACTTTCAACATACACATCGGCATCTCTCTTCATGCCTGGCCATTAAAACCCCTGTAGAGAATTCACCGAAGTCTTTTTAAACCCAAAGTACCCTTCTGTGTCATGACTCTCTCCTCAGAACAGGCTCTTAAGCGGTTCAGAATCAGGTACACAATCTGTCAATCCCATTCTTACTCAGAAACAGCAATCCCTCCACCATCCTAAAGTCTTCACACCCCTTGAGTCTGGTAGGAGTTTTCCACTTGCCCTTGCCGGTCTAGATCAAACTCCATACCTGGTGCACCCAGAAAGTTAGCGCTGCGTGATAGTGCATCAACAACCACATTGTACTGTCCTTTCACATGCTCGAGTGTAAAGTCGAACACATCAATGACTGACAGCCAATACTTAAGCAGATCAGACAGTATGGCCTGCATCTTGATCCACTGGAGAGTCTCATGGTCATACTCACTTCCAAGTGTCAGCCATGTAGAAATGCTTCCGGTGTTTCAATTCCATGTACAGCCCATAAAGCTCCTTTTCATGGGTTGACTTAGCAAGTTTTNACTTCCAAGTGTCAGCCATGTAGAAATGCTTCCGGTGTTTCAATTCCATGTACAGCCCATAAAGCTCCTTTTCATGGGTTGACTTAGCAAGTTTTTGAGACATGTTATTCAACATGTACTCTACTGGTCCCAACTTCTTACCCCCTGATTGCTGTGGCACTACGCCTATACCAAATTGGCTGGCATCAGTGGTGACCATAAGAGACTTCACGGGTTCYGCAATTTTCAGAACTGGGTGATTACTTAAGGCCCACTTCAAATGCTTGAAGGCCTTCTCAAGTGCGCTGTTGCAGTCCCAGGGAAGTCGAGTGAGATAAGTTAGTGGACAGGCTGCACAGCTGTAATTTTCTACAAATGACCTGTAGTAGCCTGTCATCCCGAGGAATGATCTGACCTCAATGACATTCCGAGGACGTGGCCAATCCCGAAGGCTTTTAATTTTTTTCTGCTCCAAATTTGAATTCATCTCCAACTTTCCTTTCTTCCAGTACATGTTTCAAACAAGCGAATCGAGTTTAAATTGGAAAAGAAAACTGGTAGCTTCACAACGTGACCAATCCCTGATGGGTGCCACTTTGGCATTCTCTGGCCTCAATCCATCTGCAGAAATCTCATGACCCAAGTAAGGATGTCAGTGCGTGCAAATTTTTTTCTATCTTAATCCTATACTTGTACTTTCAGAGGACATAAAAAACAATCTGCACCGAAGGCCTACCTCAGTCGGTACACCTACGAATTATTGACAATTGAAATACAGACCCGAGTTCGAATCCAGATACAATCATATGACCAGAATAAAACACTTCTGAATTACCTGGGGCCGGTCAGTTCAATGCTGGGCTACCAGACCTGCACGGGCCCGGGTGCCCGGCCGTGCAGCCGGGCCCGGGCGGGTCGGACCTAGTCGCACAGGTGACCCGGGCAAGTCCAAAAACCGGTCAAAACTTTTTTTTTTTTTTTTTCTTTTCTTTTTTCAGCGGGGCTAGTTTGAGCTCCCCGAGAGCTCTCCAAATCCGTGGTCTTTTAAATTTTTGGAATAGTCGTGTTTTGGGGGGGGGGGGGGGGGGGGGGGGGGGGGGGGGGGGGGGGGGGGGTGCACGGGTTTGGGGTGGGGAAGCAAGGCAGGGTTGCTGGGACCGGTTGCTGCAAGTGGTTGCTCGCACTGGTTGCAGCAAACGATTGTTGGAACCGATTGCAGTAACCGGTTAAAGCAACTGGTCCATGCAACTGGTTGCAGCACCTGTTTGCTGAAACCGGTTGCATCAAACAGTCAAGGCAACCGGTTCCAGCAACCCGTTGCATGAAACAGTAAAGGCAACCGGTCGCAGCAACCGGTAGCATGAAACAGTCAAGGCAACCGGTTCCGGCAACCGGTTGCACGAAACAGTCAAGGCAACCGGTTGCATGAAACAGTCAGGGCAATCAGTCTATGTTGATCCGTTGCTGGAACCGGCTGCGGCAAGCGGTCGCTGTAACCGGTTCCAACCAAAAGCTTCATGCGCACACCACTGACACACACAGCAGAAACACACATTAGTCTCACACACCACAGATCAGCATAGATCAGCACAGAAAGTAGAGTGACAGAGTCACAGACACTGTTTTTTTTTTTCCTTTTTCCCCCCCCCGTGAAGATGGTGGTCGAGCAGCTCCAGCGGGCGGGCGCAGCAACTCCAGCGGGCGGACGAACGGGCGGGAGTTCGATTTCGAATTCGAACTCCCCGCTTCGTGAGGGGGCCTCGCGTGCCTCTGTCTCAGCCGTTGATTCGCAAGATGGACGACTGAGATCGTGCATTTTTCAAAAAAAAAAACGAGGGCCTGTGCACCCTCATTTTTTTTTTTTTGGGCCAGGGAGGTCCTATAGGGGCGGGGGAACATGCCTTGGCCGACCAAACTCCGAACTCCCCCGTCCCCTATTTTGTGCGAGGGAGGCCCGGTACCAGCCGGGCCAACCTGCCCAGCCGGGCATCCCGGGCAGGCCGTGTGAGCCGAGGCGAGCCGTGCCGCACGGCTGGTAGCCCAGGTTCAATGATGATATCTCAAGCCCATTTCCCCTTTGAAAAGTTGGAAAAAAAAAAAAAAAAAAGGTGTGTGCTTCTCCAAAGTCTTACGGAAGATAAGTACACAGTCGAGATACACAACAATAGACCTATAGAAGTAGTCAATGAAGATTTTGTTCAATGCATGTTGGAATATACATATGGCTGGTGTATTAGATGAGAAAGAAAATGTGTCATTAATTATGAGAAATACAAATTCAGCACACCTTGAGCTTCGGCTCATGGACGGTCAATGAACAGTTTCCCCCTTCTATGGTAACGATGTCCTCCTCTTTGCGAGCCATCTCTTTTTTATTAATAGGTCGTTTTCGCACCTGACACATGGACACAAACACCACGAAGGAATAGCAATAAGACTCATCAACATAAACAATGCAGCACAATAAAAAATGGAATTGCTCGACAGAGCCATCAGCGAAGTGATTACAAAGGGTGAACTGTGCAACTGGCATGTGCTATGTCCAGTGATGAATTTTTAGTGTCTCAGCAGCAGCCATAAAAGTCATCTTCGGCCACCAGTACCCCCGAGCCACTTTCTGCTAAGGCTGGTTCCCCCTGCACACCAAACAGAGACAAACCGCCAAGACGTCATTTTCTCTTTCTGTTGGTGGCCCCGGCAGCCATTTTGTTCCAGTAGCACTGTTGAACCGGGAATGTTGCATTTGCGATTCTCAAATTTGCCTGGGCTATGTACTGGTGGTTTAAACCCTGAAACAAGGATGTTTCCTGCAAAATGGGGAGTCGTATGGGCACATAGCTTGACGTGGACATCGCACAATGTGCGCCACGTGGATCACATCTTATGGCTACAAACCTGCGTTCGATGCTATCTGCAGACTGCAATTTACCTTCACTTTCCATGGCCTGCAGTTCTGTTCGCCCATCTCCTTTTATCTGATTTCCCAAAGAATGACCTGTACAGTTCTGTTCACTCCTCTCCTTTTATCTGATTGCCCAAAGAATGAACTGTACAGCTGTTCACTCGTCTCCTTTTATCTGATAGCCCAAAGAACTGCTCAGTGTTCCATAGGCAGAAAACATGAAATAACAAGAAAACGGGATGTGTTTCATGCACACAGTGCCAATATTGGGCCCCGCCGACAAGCTTCTTGCGCCCAGGCCCACAAACTCCTACCACCCCGATGTCAGGGTCAAAAACATTGACAGCTCTGAGATGCCCACATGCATGCCATGTGCACAACAGTTTATCATGGGCCACTACCTGCCCAGGTACCCACCAACTGGTACAAGCCTAGGCCCGCGATCTTAAAAAGTAGTGTCACGGCAACCCATGACCACTCCACCATGGAGATCCAATGGCCCCAAGTACAACCTGAGGCTCACTCGTTCTTGTTGCCTTTTTCTGTGGAGTTCTTTTTTCTTTCTTTCTTTCGGCTTTTTTTCACGGTTACTCTTTTCTATGTTATTCTCCTCTCCCCATACTGCGCTTTCCAAGCGCAAGGCTCACCACATCGATGTAGCTGAGCGTGAGGTGTCTCCGCCCACACCTGCTACAAACGGAGAGAGAAAAGAGAGAAAGTGAGGAGAGACAAAGAAACAAACACAGACCAAAAGAAGACAGAAGGAAAGTAAAAAGTATGGGCTAGAGATGTGCACCACACAATGAGAAAACCAATTTCCCAAAAAGCAGTAGTTCATAGAAGCACAAGCCTGATTGAGCCGACTTGAAAGAAGAAGCCCTACTGTGATGTGACTGCTCCTTTCTGATTCCTACTTACTCTACTCCAGCTAGCCTACTAACTCTCACTCTCCGTCCTTGGTCACTCACTGGATGCTGCTTGAACACTCTGCACACACAGCCTTCCTCGGCCAACACTAGGTAAGGACTGCCAGTCCTGTACTGGTATTGGCAAAGAGGTTTTACTGTGTACTTGTATATGAACATGGGCGACCCCGCGCCCCCAGGCCTCGGCAATGCACCAGCAGACGTAAAAAAGAACTGGACGAAGGTCCCACACACTGCGGCATACTGATACCACACGGGCCCCAGTTAGGGCCCGGTTCTGTAGCAGGCACGGTTCAGGCCTAGTTAGTGGGTCACGACGGGCCCATTTTAGGTCCAGGTAGGCCTAGGACCCGTCGGTTCAGTTTAGGGTCCGGTAGGCCTCGTTTAGACCCCACCAGACCTAACGGCTAGTTCGTTTAGGCCAGGTACCGGTTCATCGGTAGACCCAGCCGGCGGCGCAGTTTTGGCGCCCATTTTCAGACTCCGAAATCGGATCTGAACCGTTGGGCCTGATCAACGGTCCAGACCCGAAGGACCTCAGTAGGACTGAGGCCGACCCAACACTATATCAGCTGGGTACCAGCCTCAGTCGGCAGGTTAGAGTGGACAGGAGGTTAGGCTTTGCGTTAGTCTTCAGGATTAGCGCAGCGTTTCAGCATTGGCGGGATTAGCGCAGCTCAGCAGCGTTAGTATGAGCAGCGAGGAGAGATTGGGCACCACGGCGAGAAAGGATTAGCGCAGCCATTGGAACAGCGTCAGCCACCGGCCCAGCCCGCGGCCCAGCGACAGCCTGCTGCAGCGCCATAACTACCAACCAGGTACCAGTGAGGAAGGTCTTGCCTTCCCTCCCTCTTCTTCCTCCGCCACTCTCTCTCTCTCTCTCTCTCCTCCTACCTTCTCAGTCTAAGTCTACTCCTGGGTTTCTCCTATGGGACTACTACCAGTATGAAGGATGGTTACGAATTATGATGACATTGGAGACGGCAGCCATTGGAACAGCGCCAGCCACCGGCCCAGCCCGCGGCCCAGCGACAGCCTGCTGCAGCGCCATAACTACCAACCAGGTACCAGTGAGGAAGGTCTTGCCTTCCCTCCCTCTTCTTCCTCCGCCACTCTCTCTCTCTCTCTCTCTCTCTCTCTCTCTCTCTCCTCCTACCTTCTCAGTTTAAGAGTACTCTTGGTTTCTCCTATGGGACTACTACCAGTATGAAGGATGGTTACGAATTATGATGACATTGGAGACGGCGACATTGGGACCACAGGTTGAGGACTACTCGTGGGATCTGATTTCATCTTCCTCTGGAGATGTACTTGACACTGTGAGACACTGTGTTCGTGACATTTCGGATTTTCACTACCTCTGACATTTCAAGATACTATCTTTGGAAACATTGAGTTGACGTCATCTTCCCTCACCTCCTCCCTTCGTCTCTCTCCTCTCTCCATTCGTCCGTGGATGATCTCAGACCCTGGCCTTCCGTCTATGTCCAAGGCCAGGGCTTTCACACCCCTGGATGTATGATTGAGAGTGTTCGATTGCAGTCCGAGTCAGGTCAGAGTCAGTCCATGTATCAAGTCTTCCGCTGTATTGTATTAACTCTGTATTATCTGGTCGGTTCTGGGAATATGCGCCACACTTATGACTGTGTTTCACGAGTATGCAACACACACCCACGCCCCACCAGTACCACCTCCCTTTCAGTTTCTCGTGAGCCGGTGAGGCACATTACACAAGACCCACTTTCACTTTTAGCAGTACAAGTGGACCTGTCGTGAGCGTAGTGTGGGTCATGCGTCCAAGGGCAGTTCACGCATTAGTGCGCTCGTTGCCATGTGCATTGATCGACTGCCCATGTGTGTGTATGTGTGGAATGTGCTATTTGCCCAGTCTCTAGTGCTATGTGGGGGTTGTGGCACAATGTCCTGTGTACTTAACACACTGCAGTCACTCAGTTCTGTCATTTTTCCCCTCTATTTTTATTTTGTACATGCAGCCAACAATCATCATCGCCTCCCCCAGTTCGTTGAACTCCTCCTGCCGCTAGTCGTCCTCCCCCTCTGCCTCGTCCTCTCGTTCACCGTCCTCCTCCCACTCGTCGTCTTGCCCCTTCTTCTCCCTTCCTCCTTCTACTCATCCTGCTCCCCCTCCTCTTCCACCCGTTCTTCCTCCTCCGAGTCCTCCCATTCCTCCTCCTCCCTCAAGCCATCCTTCCACTCCTCGTCACATTCCACCTCCTGCCACTCTTCTTTTGTTCATCGTCTTCCCCTCCCCCCCTTTGCCTCTATCGGAGTCTTTCCGCTCAGCATCCTTCTGTTCACCATCCTCCCTCTCCTCCCTCCTCCCACTCCTCATCCCACTAGTCATCCTGCCCCTCCCCCTCCCCCTCCTACAGGTGCTCCTCCTCCCATTCACTGTCCCCCTCCATCAGCTCGTCGTCTCCTCCTCCTGCCGGTTATCGTCATGTCCTCCACGTCCCGTTCCTCTCCTGCTCCTTTGCTCCTCCCGCTCGTCATCCTCCACTCCTCCTGCTCCACCTCCTGCCGCTCCTCCTCGAGTTCACTGTTCTCCTCCTTGCAGTTCACTGTCCTCATTCCACTTGTTGTTTTCTTCCTTCTCCTCCTGTTGCTGGTCATGCCTCCTGGTGCTCCTCCAGTTCACTGTCCTTCTCCTTTCAGCTCACTGTCCTTCCGCTCGTATTTTTCCCCCTTCTCCTCCTGTCACTGGTGGTCCTCGACCTCTTCCTTCCTCCACTCTTCCCGCTCCTCTTCCCGATCCTCACCTTGTCCCTGCTCCCCCTCCCGCTCCTTGCGTTCCTCATCCTTGCCTCTGCTCCCCCTCCTGCTCCTTGTGCTCCACATCCCTGCCCCTCCTCGTCCCGCTCCTCTTCCCGCCACCACTCCATTGCACGTCACATCCTCTCTTTGAAGATAGTGAGTTCGCTCAGTTCTCGCTTGCCTTTCCCGATTATGCAACAAACACGTGCAACATGAGAATTGAGTTTTCCCCTTTCTGCATGTGGTGAGCAGTGCGCCTGTGTGTGCCAACAAAATGAAACGACCCCACCGCACCCAAGAAACTCGCACCCCACCGGTACCACCTCCCAGCCGTTTTTTTATTGGGCCCACGACATAGCATTACGCAAGGACCGAGTGTTAAGGATTAGGGATAATAATAATAACAATCAAAGAACCAATGTCTGAATCCTCCCCTTACTGCCAATCACTCAAGGGGTCCACCATAGCCATCTCATACACCTTCCTACTTGGTTGAGCAGGTGGCTATGGACTCTCGGAGTGAAGCTCCAATGTACAAAGGACAATGCAAAGCTAACGTGTCTTTCCTACTACGGCTGCCAATTGGGGCCTTTCCAGGTGCAGCAGCAACCAAGAAGATGAAGGTGCAGATCACCATAGCCAGGTAAGCTCCCCCGTCACTCTCCTCCTTGCTCACCGTCTTCCTCCTCCTACTACTTTCACAGAGTCTCCTCCTTAGTCCTCTCCACCATACCTGAGGTGGAGGGCCAAGCCCGCCTTCTTCCTCCCCAGCGCAGCTATGCCGACCACTCGCTCCAACAGCATGTCGCCAAACTTTCACACTGCAAAATGAGGCTAAGCGTCTTGCCTCCACCGGAGATATACCGGCGTATTGCCTCTTGGGGGTTTGCCTTCGAGGCCACACGGCCTCCTAAGTCTAAATACCTCCACTAATTAGAGGGAACATCATTGTAGACTGATATTCCCCTACGCAGGCCCCAGACTCAGACTCTTGGACCAGAGTCCTTAAAATATAAGCCTACCGGACTTCTAAAATTCACTTCCGCCTCTGAAGGTACTAACTTTTCGTCTGCTTCTACCTACCTACCCGCTACTTGAGTGTTTTCCAACCTGTGCAGCCTAGCGTACTCCTAATTCCCCACTGCACTCGTACGCCAACACAGTCACAGGTACGTACCAGGCCCATTTGCCTTCTCAACACACAAGCTACCCTGGAGGTCACACACATCCCCAAGCAATAATGCGGTCAGGCAAGCACACGGCCTCAGCAATCATGCCAACTTACGTACTTTGAAATCTCAGCAGAATATGGGAATCTCAACTAGTCACTCAGTCCAGCGGCAAAACTGAAAAAATAGCAGATCTTTCAGTCTGTGATTTTGCAGGTGATTACATCACCCCCCGCTCGAGACCGAGGTCCCTTCGAGCGACTAGACTCATCAGAGTCACTGCAAAATGCATCATAGGTCTCAAGAGTGAGGCCCCTTCGAGCGACTAGACTCATCAGAGTCCCTGCAAAACGCATCATCGGCCTCAAGAAGAAGGTCCCTTAGAGAGACTAGACTCATCAGAGTACCTGCAAAACACATCGTAAACCGTGAATCCAAAGAGAGTTGTTGCCTCTTCATAAACAGCGAGACGATCAGTGAACACTGGCATCTGTTCAGAGGCAGTATGAAGTTCGCATGCATTAACTAAACGGAGGGCAGTCTTGAGTAGAACTTTCTGAGATATCCAGTACCGTTTGTCTAACGGATGATACAGGAAACGACCCTTGTACCGTCCGCCGTTTGGGCCTACCCCCGCTACTTGAGTATTTTTCCCGCTGCAACATCACGGCCATGGGTAAGCACCGACCCTGCGGAGCCTCGAAACCAACAAGTACCCTTGCGGGTCACACACACACTCAGGCCGACAAGCACTCAGACAGGCACGCAGACAAGCAGGCACGCACACACAGACTTAGAAATCACAGCAGAATGCGAGAATAAGGCACAGATTCCAGCAGCAAATCCCAGAAATCAGCAGTGTTCTCAGTCTGTGTTTTGGCGGGTCATTACACATACTCCGGGTGGCTAGACAAACCCAAGAGCCTAGCTCAGTGGGTACACCCATGAACTGTTGAAATACAGATCTGTTTTCGAATCCAGATGATGGAACTTGACGAGCAAAACCAACTACTAGTCTACTAATGAATTGCTTGGGGCCGGTCAGCTCAACGATAATATCTCAAGGCCGTCGCCTTTTCGAAAAGAAAAAAAAAATAATAATAATAATAAAAAATCAGCAAGTCGGTTGTTACAACCTCTCTCTCTCTCTCTCTCTCTCTCTCTCTCTCTCTCTCTCTCTCATATTTCCATCCTCCCTTTTTACCTCCCCCATCTCATCCCGTTTCCCTCCTCTCTCCATCTGTCTCTCACTTCCCTCCTCCTTGCTCATGCCTTTGCCTCTCCACCTAGATGGGGTTGAAACGCATGCTCTAATGGGGTTGCTGGTTTTGTTCCTCGGGTATTGCACATCTTTCATTGTAATTTGTTTGCTTGGCAAAGCTCCATCGGAAGCATATCTACTTACCACAACTTTGATCCTGGCCATGGAACTATTACCGCTGTTCCTCTCTCCCAAAAGTGGTGTGCTGGATCTTCGGGGCGAGGCCGTCGAGAGTGATAGCCTGGAAAGTTGAGGTGCATTATTTACAGGATAGCTGTCATCGTCGCTCTCTCTCTCTTTGTCTACACCACCCTCATTGGCGGTGGTGAATGCTCCCAGAGCAGGCGACACATAAAAGGGTTCGTGATCATTTAGATGCTCCTGCAACATAGCATCCCACCAAGAGAAGAGAAACATAATGCATGTTGCCTTGAAAATTAAAAATGCGTTGTCAAACCTTGAAAACATGAGAAACCCGAAAAGAACTGCAGGACACAATTGCAGACAGTTGGTGCCATCAAGATATAAACGCCCACACACTACTGCATTTTCAAGCTTCCGCATTACTCGTTTGGAAGACATCCTTCTCACAACACTCCCAATATAGAGGAACACTCCCCACTTCTGCTAATGACACATTCCCTCCCACTCATCACTCTTGGCTTTGATTCAAACAGGAAACGACCACATTTTCACGTACACAGAGGGGGAGAAAAAGAAGACTGCAGCTAGACTCTGGTTAGAGTGGTGTACGACAAAAGGCTCGAAGTCGGCATGTGTTTTGCCGAGTATCCTCAACCATGAAACAGCATACACCGGCTACTCCACAAATGTTGAGCATATCCCCAAATCCGTAACAGACACATCTACAGCATACTCAGTCTATCAATACAAAACACTTGAGAGAGCGATGATGCAAAGGGGAGCACAATCAATCAAACAAGCAATTTGGATTTTGGATCCTTAGGACCGTGGTTCCCTCAGTGTGCCTGAGTGTGTGTTTTTGCACAGGCGTTTCCTTACCTTGTTCCCCCTTGGGTGTTCCACATCAGAAGGAAAACAAGAGGACAGCGACATTTGGCCACAATAGTCCTTTCTGTATGACTCTAGACGAGATGAAAAAAAGTCAGCTTCACTTTCTTTGAATTCAGTTTGTGTACCTTGAAGGCACTTCCACTACAACAATTACTAGTTTGTGTACCTTGAAGGCACTTCCACTACAACAATTACTAGTTTGTGTACCTTGAAGGCACTTCCACTTACTCTAAATAAAACTAAGTTCTTGCCATCATGTTATCAAAAAATTGGAAAAACAAACAAACAAAAAACAGAATTTTTTCAAAGGACTTGTTACGAATGATCCTCGAGACTGCTCTGCTATTTATGGATCCAAATAAGAATTCCATGGTCATGCTCCAACCTAGTCAACTTCATATAGCGATCCTTTGTTTGATGGATTTCCAAGCAAACTGTAACAAAGAATTCATCATCTTCTTCATCGTCTTCTTCGTATCGTGTCGTGAGACGTAATTTTCATAAGATTTTGCAACATTACCTTCTCCTCCCTTATTTCCATACAGATTTCGAAACAAATTTAATTTCCATACAGATTTGAGATCATCCTTAATTTTCAAAAAAGATATCAGAGTTTTTTACTTTCTCTTGTTATGCGAAGCTGCTCACCGGGGAAGACAGCAGTCAAAACATGCCAACACATACCTCAGACAGCAGACCTCCACTGTCGTCGATGGCATGCAGATCCAAGATGCCAGACGAGACATCACCCCTCAATTCGGGAGACAGAAAGCTGTCAAATCCATTCTGATGAACCAATGGCGGAAAATTCGGCGGGCTTGCCGGCATCTCCGCTGTGAGTTCGCCGCTGCCATTCACGGCCTTGATCAATCGAAAGAGCTTTTGTTTGTCTTCTAACGCCTGAACGCCATACCTCGAATAATCCTGCAGGGGAAGAAAAGGGGGGGGGGGGGGGGGAAAACAACCAAAGAGCATAAACAGGGAACAAGAGGTGCCGGCCCGCCTCCGTCCACATGAATAACAGATGTGGTGAAAGCAGCAATGAGTCAGAGACTGGGTAGGACGGTGGATGGTGGGTAAACAGTTTAACGGATGTCTCAATGTGGAAGGACCTATGCTTGGGTAGTGTTTGACAGATGGTGTATCGGGAAATGGTTGAGTTCCGTTACGGAGGGAAATTTCCCATGCACTGATTAGCCGCGAAAACAATGTAGGAGAGGCATTCAGAGACATCAAGCATAAGGCAGTTGGGTAGGTGGGTAGGTGGGAATGGAGAAACGAAGCCATGCCATTTGAAGATAGAGAGAGTCATTCATTGGGGCGGGGTTTGACGAAGCAGACGAACTGGCAAAAATCGTAAAAGCAAAAGGCATACATACAGATAACACTGCTATTGAGCATTCAAGCTGTTGTTTGTGGTAGTCATCATGGGAATAAAAAAGCCTTGGAGGAAAGATAGAGGAACTCCCATAAACCTCGAAGAAAAAGGCAGCAATCATAAACGAGCACTGTTAGAGCAACAGCGATACTTGGGACCAACTAGCCTACCTCGGTTGGTACACTAAGGAACTGCTAACATACAGAGCTAAGTTGAAATTCAGATGATGGCACTAGATAAATGGAACCACATGTCAAACATTTCTTTAGTTCCATCATCTTTGTCTGGTTGTTGAATGTTTCAGAGGGTGAGAGGTAAAACCATGTAGCAGAATATTCATCAATAAAAAGGCAAGCAAGCATGACTGGGATGACTTCATTTCAAAGTGCCAGTCATGGTTGTTGTTCTTTGCAACTTGCTTCCCGTCACTGATTGCTGACTTCGCTATCTGTCATTGGTTGATTCCGCCTCCAACATGACATATGAGAGAGATGTAGGAGAGAAGCTTTCTTGTAGTCTTCATACGTGTGGGTGTTGATGTGCCCTTAAGAGTGTCAATGTGCCCTGGGCGAATGTAGTCCAGCCGTGCATGCAGCTTCCAGTTCACTCCAATCTTCGGACCTCTCATTGTTGTGTCGTAGAACAGCAGTTACCTACTGCAACCTGTGCCGGATCATCTGCATTTGAAAGAATGGATGCAGATTTCTTTGGATCAATGAACGATAAGGGTATGCGCCAAGGGGTGTTTGAAAAGATGTAGAGGGGGACCATTGTAAAACGTTAGCAGCAGGTGGGTGTGTTGCAGTAGGACTCGAAGGGAAGGGTAGTGGCATTGGTGGGAGAACAGCCGGGATCAGCGTGGCGTCGGAGTAGCTGGGGTTGCGTTATCAAGGCTGTGGCGGGCTTTTGTATCTCTCTCATTGGGGGATTGCTTTGGTGGCACCATGTATGTGGTAGATGTGCAGGGGACACCCGCCTGGACAAGTGTGTAAGCCGCAAGACGGCAGTGTTTGTCTCAGCCTTTGGGATATGGGACAGCTGTGAAACGTAGGTGGCCTGTGATGTTGAGAAGTCTTCCGTACCCGTACCGGTAGAATTCTACTGGGATTTTGTCTTGGGTTTAATGAGGAAGGTCGCGAATGCTAAAACTGATTTCATGCAGGAGCAGTGTGATGCATTCTTTCCTTAGAATTGCCAAGAAGTTTGAACTCGTCAGGGATGGTACTGTTATCCGTGATTGTTCTGTCGGTGGTTTGTTCCCAGGGTGAGTTTTATCTGGTTGTAGAAGTGATCGAAGCAAGCCATGTTGACCACACATTTCGCACCAAAAGAGTGCCAGTATCGATCCATTTCAAGCAAAGGCGAGTAGTTTCTTCATCAACTTTGATTGAATGCGAGGAAAGCCGTAGGAAACGTCTCACTTGTGAAAAGCCATAGGAAACGTGTCACCTACGGTACACATAATATGACCTGGGGAGGTCACCTGAATTGACTCGTGCTGTTGTCTCTCGCTCTTGACTTCGTATGGAATGTGCCGCCGTGAGAACTGGATACCCCTATGGACTTCTGACATTCACCAGGGCACACTGTTGACACCTTGAAGACCAGCAGCTGGGAATCAACCTGCGGATATGCAGAGGATTTCGAACACTAACAATTCTGGTGTAATTGAACACAACCTCCTGAGAAGCTTGAAACGGCAGAACCATGCATGTAGTCTCCTCGCACATAATGTAATCTCAAGCCTCAGGAGCGAGCATCCGGAACTAAGACAACGGAAGAAAAGATTCTTGAAACAGAATCATGCATGTAATCTCATCACACATAGGGGCTCGCCGGACGGCACACTACACAAAAAAAAAAACTACGTTTCGTGAGCGTTTCGCCGCACAGCACCCTCGCGGATCCTGTCAGAGAAAACTCGCGATTGATGACAGAGTTCAAGTTCCCGAGTGTAAGCATGAGCCTCTGCCGTCCCCGCCTGTAAATCGCTCGAAGTCGTAGGTACTCCAAAGGTTTGCTGGTGGAGCTGCGAATCCAAGCGAGTGCAGCACGTCCGTCCAAGGGATGCAGCACGTTGGTCCAAGGGATGTCCGTCCAAAAAAAAATGGGCATTTGCAGAAGTCAGGCACCTGAACAGTCGTCAGGCCGTTTCCGCGAGTGATTTCCCGTGTGCTGTGCGGCGGTGGTGTAACAAACGAAACGAAACGGTGATTTTCCGCCTCACGAGGCCTCGTGAGTTTCAAGGTCGTTTCGTTTCATTTTTTGCAACCGTCCGGAGAGGCCCATGATGTAGTTTCAAGCTTCAGCACTGAGTATCCTGAACTAAGACAATGGTAGAAAAGAAGTGGACAGGACAAGGAAAGTTTCATTCATAATCAAAGAGTTTGGTTGCATGCCCCTTCCATTTCCCTTCAGCTCCACGACCTCTCCCACCAGATTCACCACCTCAGCATCTATCTCCCTATTGCCACCATTGATGCAGTTTCTCTGCACCTGGCCCCGCAGGCAGGCACAACCTCCAGCGCGAAGCTCAGCTATGGAGATTGGTGCTCAGCACCTCCAGTCTTCAGGAGCACCTCTCTCTCTCTCTCTCTCTCTCTCTCTCTCTCTCTCTCTCTCTCTCTCTCTCTCTCTCTCTCTCTCTCTCTCTCTCTCTCTCCATGCTGGTTTTTATCACCTCAAGCTCACTCCTCCTCTGAGCAACAGTTGTGGCGCTCTACCTTACCTATGGCTACTGTCTCTCTCTCCTAACTAGCGCCGTCTTTCTCTTCCCGCCCACTCCTGGCTGGCCCTTTCGTCCTCTTCCCTGGCACCAGTGTCTCCTGCCTCCTCCAACGCTAAATGGGCCAGCGCTCCAGCCAGCAACAGCCCAAGGCAGAATGAATGAGCCCACTGGGCAGGCAACTCTTTTTAATATTGACAGGTGTTGGCCTGCAGCCTCGTGTGCCTGAGGTTTCCCAATCTCGAGCCCAAATTTGCTGTCGTCCAGTGTGTGCCTGGACCCATTTGGGCCTTGGAAACTTCTGGAACAATGCAGACAACTGTTGGATGCGCATCACATCTCTGGCCATGATCGACTCTTAAGAAATCTCTGACTCCCCTGAATCTCCTAAAGGCAACTACCTTTTCATCCAGGCACGGGTCGCCTCTTTTCACCCTTGAACCCAGTACCTGTAGACCAAAGGACTTTTCCAAGCCCCTTCTGGGGCAGGAGATGTGACTCTTGACCCCTGAATCTAGTCAAATGTCTAGAGCAACTCCGGCATGTCTAAGAGAGGTACTGCAAAAACAGAAATTTGCACACGGATTGACCAACGCAGTTCAGATGACGAAGCGTCATTCATAAATCAGCTAATCAAGATGCGGCTCAATTTCAATCACAGAAATTTGCACACAGATTAACCAATGCAGTCCAGCTGACGAAAAACAGCTAATGGAGATGGGACTCGTTTCAATATACGTATCCTCCAATGCCCACCACAGTCCCACCACAATCAAATGTCGTGGCACTTGTGAAATTAAAGTGGACATAATTGTCCATGGCCCCCCTCCCCCCCCCTCCCCCTCAACAATGCCCTCTTCAGGGCTTCCATGCAGACATGACAGCCCAGCACAGTCAAACCCCAGCCTTTGACCAACCGAACACACTGCCAAATCCACTGCCAAAATCCGCTGACAATACCGGCCTGGCAATCCCCTGACACCATACAGGTGCAAATCCAGCCTTGCACGGCAGTGGTGATGGATACCTAAACTGAACTTCACCACATAAATGACCAGCGCCCAGAAGTGTGAGTTTAGCTTTCAATGCCAGGTCAATCATCTGTTGAGGACGTGCGGGCGTGAATCCACCTTTGCATGACAAAAAGCCTTACAGTGACAAAAAGCCTTAACTGTAACTTACCACATATCAGGCACCCTTCAACCTCTCTGGTCCCACACGAATCTGTGCACCTGACTAACCCAATGCCGGTTCTAGTGTACGCAAACCCCCTGAACACACATTTCACCCCTAAATACATCCGCGTTAAGAACACGCTCCTAACAACCCTCAACTAACAGAGTAACCACAACGTCGGATCAACAGACCCTGCTCCCAGGTCGTGCAACCTAAAGCTTAGAATCTACAAAATTCTACAAAATCCAGGTAGGGGGCGGCCAGAGTAACCAACAGCGAAAAAAAGCATCTGATACTGACCCGGCTGTTTGGCCACGTGAGCAAAAGCCTCAGATTCCCCAACCAAGCTACAGGACCAAGTGACCAAAAGCATTGCATCTACAAAAGTCCAGCTACCCTCCCAATTAACCTGAAGCCTCCGATCTACAAACCCATCTACGGTTTTCCGTCTTCAAACCCAGCTGCCAGGCCGATTAACCACCCCCCACCCCAGTTCTACCACAAGCACGTTCCGGAGCCATCTAAGAAACGGGGGGGGGAAAAAAAAAGGTCACGGGGTGCACGTAATTTGGTGCGTGGGAAAAGTAGAGCATAACCCTGAACACCACAACGTTTCCCAGCTAGACAAACAAAGTCAAGGCGTGC